CTGACTTAAAACAGGGGGAAGAGGGACACTTATTCCAGTGGGAGTGCTTATTGGAAGGAGGGCACTAAATCAAATCATTACGACATGTAAACAATTTTGTTGTCATTATTTGATGAAAGTTGCTTCGGTATATCACTTACAGCTGGAGGAAGACAGCAAAGATCAAACAGACTCTCCTTGATAAATGTGAAGCACCTGAATTTATAATTTTCAAGATTGAAAATCCGTCAACATGTCTCAAAAAACAAAATTACAGAGACATCTCTGAATAAAAATAAATTTGTTATATTTTTAGGATTCAAGAACAAAAGAAAGGTGTTACAGAACATTAAAAATTCATGCTGGAGTGGAAAATTAAAAAGTAAATACATGATAATGCAGACAAAGGCAGGATCAAGCTGTCTGGCACAGACACCTCAGCTTTCAGCCCACATTCCCCTCACTTTCAGTCCCAAATTCAAGTGTGAAGTGAGAAAGACAACAGCACTTATTTAAAAAAATTAAAAAGAAAATTAAAAATAAAAAATTAAAAGAATTCCACATACAGTTTCAAAAGAAATAACTAAACGAGGCCTACTCTAGTTTAAGACACGGAACAGAACGAAAGGGAAGATCTGTAATTTTAGAAAGAGAGATTTTCAATTTGCAAAGCAAGAATCCGTGTGGAACTCCACTGCACGGAAGGACGAGAGGGTCTATTACAAACCTCAAAGCCGTCAAAAAAAAAAACACGCAAAACCGCAAAACCGCAAAAAAAAAAAAAAATTCGACCAGAACCGAAAACCGCATGCAAAACAGTCTAAACCGATAAATGTTCACATTCCAGTTCTCAAAACCTTAATCGATCCGATACGGTGTTGACCAACTTTAGTCACGCGATATTGTTCAGGAACGGTGTCACGCAATCGAATTATTCATCGAATACGCACATGGTCATCGATGCTTGACACCTTGGAAATTGCACAGCTGCAGCCTCACGGAATTTTAATTTGAATTATAGATTTGCATTTTATGGCTAAATGGCGCAGTCCTTCCTTTAAATACAGAAGAGGATTTGATCTCTTGGCGAACGTACTGAAGATTTAGCAAAGAACACCAGGGAGATGTTCATATTTTTTATATTTCAGTTTCAATTCGTTTCGTCTCGTTTGGCAATTTACAGTAAGCCCTTAAAAATTCCGGAGATATGGTGATTCTAGTTTTACAATAGACTAAATGCATTGTATGGCATCAGATCTTTGAAAGACAGGCGCAAAGAACAGTGTTACAAAAGTTAACTCTTTGACTCAGTTGTATCCAATTCTGCGCATAAACTCCATCATCTGCTACCACTCAAGCGGATACAATTTAGCAACGAGTGTAATTTTAGGTTTGGGAAAGTTTCCGCACAGCCCCATACTATTGTAAAACAAATCTGTTTTCTCAATGGAAATGCATTGTTTTTGTCATTGTTTTCTCTGTTCAAGAACTGAATGCATAATGTAGGATGGGGCTGTGCGGAAATTTTACCAAATGTGCACTAGTCGTAACACGACTACATTTGTTCCATTCAAGTCCAATCGGTAGATCTTTTATACGTAGTTTTTTTTTTATAGTCATTTTATATTACATGAAGTTGTTTTTGAATGACAGCGTATAAAATATAAATTCAAATAACTTTTTGCAAATTTCATGCTGCGAATTTGAATATTTTTCAATAAACAAACGACATACCTGGAGGAGACGACAGCGGAACGAAACAACCAAATCGCAGAACGAGCGTGCGCGAATCTAGATGATGAAAACAACTAACCGGAAGTGTTAATCACATAACCGCCTGCATGGACTTCCTGAAGAGGAAGTTAAGTCTCTTTCAATGTCAAAGGCGCACACAGCAGTAAAGTCACGGAAAAAAATGCGTGGGTTGTTGCTGAGGAGGAATGTCTTCGAACTGACGACTCCCCACTGCCACGGGGGTATATTTCAGCATTTTTGATCGACCGACCAGAAAATAAATTTTTCTAGAACCACGAGTACTTGAAAGAGTCTTGGAGTCTTGGAGTTACCAACAATCAAAAGAGTTCTTTTCCGAGACATGGGTATTTTTCCAAGCTAGAACAATTTGGGAGCCTCTGTTGTGAGAAAGGAGAGCCATATATAGCGAATGTCGTGTCAGGAGCGAAATGGCCAACTATGTAAATTTTGCGAGAAGGATAAGACTACCAGCGCTCTACTTCCAACTCGGCGACCATATCCCGTATAGCGCGACTATGGCAAGCTACCAAACTTCCGTTATCTCTCTTGGAGTGCAACCCCCTACCAATGGCCGTGAGCCGGACGACTTCCAGTCTCGAGCTCAGATTAAGCGATTGTTTGAGGAAAGAGAACTAGTCAGTGGGGACAGTGAGGCTTTTAGAAAGTTTTCAGATAAATACATTTTCCCCGAAAAGCTTGTGGCAGAGTATGCAGAAGAAAGAGGAGACTGAAAGGGAGCGAATGGAACGGCCGAACTGGGAGTACAATGACATTGACTGGGTTGGACTGTACAACTCCGATAAGCTGTCGTCCTTGAGGGTGGACGAGCTATCCTTGTACCTTTCCCATCACAAGATCATCTTCAAAGGGAAGAAAGCTGAAAAGGTCGCAATGATCAAAGCGCACATTGGCAGCTTGCTGTACGATTCAATGGAGTGTCAACAACCTCGGCAACCCCTGCTAAGAAATATGCAGCAAGAATTGACCTCATCACTTTCCGGCATTGAAACTGACTCGCAGTGATGTAGTAGATCGAGTTGTCGATTCAAGCCCGACTAGTGACGAATCGTCACCGGAGACTGATTTTATGCCAGAACCCCGCGCGGAAACATTACCGCCGTCAAAATATGGACGAGGGCAGACACGGGTCGAGAGAGACAATTATGTTAATTGGGAGAAGATAATTTTATGATATAGTATTTCGACACCTGTAAATAATTTTGATTAATCTTGACTGGAAGTTTTGCTTGTATATACAAGTTTTAGGTTTCTACACACTTCGCGTGTTTGTTAACAAATAAGAGTCAACTGAGCGACATGGAGTAAATTTTTCCTTGCCAAAAAAAACTGTGACCTTCCCCCGGCTGGGAATAAAACAGGTTTGACCCTCCCCAATTTGTGAACATTTACAAATGACCCTCCCCTTCGAGGTCCCGGCCCACCCCCCCCCCCAACTTACATAACGAAGAGAAGGCAGAGTCTATCTTGTTCAGCGAGGTTGTTCAGCGAGGTTGTTCAGCGAGGTCGTTCAGTGAGGTCGTTCGGTGAGGTCGTTCAGCGATATTCCGGCAATGAAAAAGTCATCCGCTGACAAGTTCCGCTGACAAAACTAATTTAGTCAGTCTAGGCGGACGACCAGAGACCGGAGCCATTCGTGTATTTCACCGCGGACAGTAACGGCTCCAACTCATGCGTATATTTATTTATTTTTTTTCGTTCTGGCTAACTAATTTTTACACTAAGATAAAAACTGAAAGAGCGATTTATTAGGTTCTTCTTATGTTGAAGTTTACAGTGCTTGCAAATGAAGCTCTCTTTTATTAGTACAGGGCCATGTAGTTTCTTAGTTATAAAATAGTGCAGCAACTGCATGTCACGTTTGGAAAACAATCACGCAATGTTGACGTGGCCGCAATCGAGGGAGCCTTTTTTGGTGGAAAACTGATTTTCTAGGTTATTGTTCACATGAAGGACAAATCCATTCATCGGGCTCCTCATCTGTTTTTGCACAACACCTAAAGAAAGAAAGTCGCGGATTAATTTTACTTGGTAATTTCTAACAACTCCACTAGACCTAAAAAAGGAGAAAACAAAACAAACCAAAAAAATGTCTGATCAGTCAAAACAGTGGCTGTAGCTCTCGCACTTAATCATGTCGAAGTACCTTGACTGTTTGTAGTGATGGTACAACCAATCTTCGAACAGTTTTCGGCCAGAACAAGAAGGAGTAAAATGATTTTATAAAACTTGTTCTAAAATTAATGAAGCTTAAGGCTGTTCATCACATGACGCTGTAATGGAACGAGTACATCTCGTTTGCTATTGTATCACACTACTGTTTTAGACAAGGTATTTATACCACTTAAATTTAAGTAATGATTAGATTCAGTGATACTTATGAGTGCGTGATTAGTTGAACACTTCTGCCTAAAGCCAAACTAAAGTGAGTAGAGAATATTATGACAGTCAAGATAACCACAGAGGTGCTTATAAATAGCTTTTTCATATATTCTGCTAACAACAGATAGCACAGATACTGGGCCTATAATTATCTTTGCCTTGTCTTTCTTGAAAACTGGAGTAACTTTGCCAATTTAAGTTTATTTGGGAAAAATTTGGGTTTTAAGAATTTTTAGCAAAGGGACTGGAATACTGCAAGGACCCTATGGATTTGTTATTGTCCATTTGAGATATGTAATACTCAACTTCAAGTGAGGTGATAGGGGAAAGGAACATTGATTCAGGAAAATTGCCATTTAGAAAAGAGGCAGGACAGCAATTCCCCTGTGAAATGTGTTTGTCAGCGTTTCTACCCTCATTAACAAAAAATTGTGAAAAATGTTGGCAGTGACACAGGAATTGTCAATAGATTTGTCACTTTCTAACAGGGTGGCAAATAAAATATCAAATATCAGACGAAAAAAATCAGACGAAAAAACAATTCTCAGTCTGCGTTTTGTACCCAGTCTGCAGTCTGTGAAAAGCAATCCAACTCTGAGTGATGTAACTCACTGGCTCCTGCCTTAAAACGGCGGTATTTAGACCTAGTAAGAGTCTAGCCTTCGTGTAGCCGTTCCTTCCCCCGTCATTATATATTTTCTTGCAAAAGAATGACTTCATAGAACACGATTAGTTTTAGGTTTTCGTGGACGTTCCCTCGCGCTCGCCTCTGTTTCACCTTAGCGGGGTGGTGAGAGTGCGGTTGCATGTAGGCCCTAACTATCGACCGTGAAAACCTGGGAATGAAGTAAATCTTAGAAACCAATATGGCGACCTTCATACAGAAGAGAGTGATGTCTTTCTTCGTTCGCTCTAGCGGCCTGTCTATGCGACAAACCTTACCAGCCAGACATAATCCAAGTCTGAAGCGAAAAAATAAACCTTTGGTTCGGAGAAAGAAGAGACCAACGCTCTCCAGCCTCCGAAAAACTGCCGAGGTCGTACCTCCAATTGACCCTGAGTCCTTGTTGAATACAACGCTGTTAGAGGCATCGAGGCAGCGAAGGCCGGTGGAATTATCACCTGAAGAGAAAGAGAGAAGGACGTTACTCCTAAAAGAGTGGTCAAGGCACAAGATGCAGCAGCACAAGGAAGATTTACAGCGCTTCCAGGAACTGGAAAGATGTCGCGAAGAGGCCTTAAAAGAATTGAAGAAAAGCTCTCCACTTCTTTACGAAGCCGCCATTAAAGTTGACGCCAATTTTTTCCCAATTGAGTTCAAGGGGCCAACTGAGACGCCACCGATACCTGACTACTTGGCGCCTGACATGGAGGATGTTAAAGCGAAGAACAAAGGAAGACGCTAACCCCTCCACTCCCGAGATCTTATTTAGTAATTCTCCTTACTGAATATTATACAATTCTTAGTACTATACAGTTCTTAGTTTAGAGAGTTTGGTATCGGATCAACTATTTAGATCCCTTAATTCGTCTGGTCACTTTTCTGCTTGTTAGTATTGATATTGTAAGGAGAAATTCTGTTTTGGTCACCCATGGGCGTTAAAGAGTTAATAGACACAGATGGACAGTGGTTGATCAATCACTTGATATTAATGGTGCGAAAGTACAGACTTTATCTTAAATTAGGCATCAAGCTTGTAAATAACTTTTGTCTTTAACCAGGTCATCTTTCTAGCTAGCTGTAATTTTTTTAGTGGATCAAAAACTATAGTTTTCCATGTTTTGGCTTCACACTCCCAATTAAATCTTTTTGGCTTGGTGTCTGATATCCATGGTCAGTATTGAACCATACCAACAAACTTGGCTATCAAAACCTGAAATTTTCCACACATTTGTCAGGTGTAGGCATGTAAGCTGAGTAACAGTAGTAAGCTTGCTCTATCAGTCTTTAAGGGAAGCTTAAATGAGGTGTTGGTTTACTTGGAACAATAATTATTGAGTGTCAAAGTAATTCCCAATTGCTTTGGTTTTGCTTTACTCTGCAATGGCTATTAATTAATGAAAACTTACACCACTTTCTCAACTGATCAGATTTAAAAAGCCAAAGCCACTTGTGACTTTTTTACTTGCTCTTTCCATACTTCAACCATGTAGAACAAAATTATTTTTACTGTTATTAACTTTTTTTTGGCTACTAGTGATATTTTCTTTTCATCTGATTGGCTGTTGTGATTCCTTTGGATTTGGTTTACAACACTTAGTTGAAAGGTACCCTAGTAAATGATGTAATACATTCATGTTAATATATGATGTGTGGAGTTACTGGGTATCAGATCAAAACCAAAGATGACTGAAGATTTCCAAAGGAGTTTTGAATAGTCCTTACTCAATGCGATCTTTAGGGGTTGGTTGTTTGAAACGTGATTAGTGTTCATCTACGATTGAAAGGGGACCATGAATTTCTTTTGCTTGGAAGCACTTATCAGAGCAAAAATATTTTGAGGTGTAAGCTAGACTGAAGAAAAAAAGGAGCAGAAAGGGAAAAGAAGGAAAGTAAAAGTTCTTGCAATCCATGAGAGCTTAACCCTTTAACTCCCAAGATCTTGTAAGTAATTCTCCTTACTACCTGCCATATAGTTCTTGTGATGTTAGTTTGGAGAATTTGGTATTGGATAGACTAATAATCCCCTAATTAATATTTTTCTTTATTCTCGTCACTTGTCTGCTAGATACTGTATTGATATTGTAATGAGAAATTCTACCTTGGTCACTCATGGGAGTTAAAGGTTAATAAAAATGTACACTGACCTTTGGTTAATGTAATCATTATTGAACAACCTGTGGCTCTTTTAGGTTTTGCTCAATTACTGACATGGATTTTTCTTTCTTTTATAGCAGCCTCTTTTGAAGCAAAGTTGTTGAAATGTTGCAGTGGGTAGCAAAGGGGGAGGAGGGAGGGCAGGGCAGGGGGTTGGTTTGGGTTCTGATGCTGTTTACACATAAATTCCAGAAAAATATTATTTATGAGTCCAATATACTTTAACACCTTTGGCATGACTTGGATGTAAAGAGAAAAACTTCAAACCTCTCTTTGTGTGCAAGGTTTCAGGAAATTTTGAGGTTTACTTATAAAGAAAGTAAAAATTAATAGGTCATGTATAATTCAAGAGACAAATCATTCCTATGTTGGTACTCAAATTCACAAATTACACTTGCCACTATGTAAAATTCATGTGACATATTAATTTTGGCCTTATTCATATGTCACATATAAACCCTTTACCAGCCTCATTCTAATGAAATACTTCACAGTGGAGTTTGTTCTTCAACATTAAAATCGCATCCACAGTGACTTCTGAGTTGAGTGGAGCCTCAAAAAAATACAACACTCCTCATGATTGTTTGTACTCCATGTGGCACATGTCTTCATAATTTTTTCCTTTAGCTGACCTTTCTTTAAATTTTATGTGTGAAATAAATTTTTTAGTGCACAACACCAGGATGGAACACTCTCCAAATCATCTTTTCTTTCTTCGAGGCTTGTATTCTGAGATATCATGGTCTTCATAATCTTCTCGACTGTGCCCCTCCCTGTTGGGAAAACATGACAAGTAAAAATTCTCCAACTAACATAATAATTATATGACAGACAGTGAGGAGAATTATTAACCCTTTACAATTTAACAACAGTTTTCATATTCTTCATACTGTTCTCTGTACATTTACTAAGGTGCTGACAAGGAGAATTTGTCTAACAATCAAGAGTCTCTTCAGTTGGTGATCATTTCCTTTATTCTCATGACATTAATGTGTGATTCAGTGGTGATATTGTAAGGAGAAATTAGATGCTAGTCCCTCTGAGGGTTAAAGGGTTAAATGAGGCCTTGGGATTGACAGGGTTAAAGTTGAATCATGCAAATTTACCAACAGGAATTTGATAGAAGTGTATAATAGTTTCTGGATCTTGAAAAACTTAACCTTGATTTTTAGAGTGTATCATTTGTAATCTGTTTTAATCGTTTCTTTAAATACCTGTTCCATCTTGATTGGTTGTGTTTTTCTATCGTATTAATTAAGAGAAACATTTCACAGTTGAATGTAAAACCCACAAAAAATGAATTCAGAAATTGTTATACATACATGTATGCTTCTTCAGTTGTAGCTGGTACAAAAGGCATTATATTTTTACTTTGAGGCAAGCCTTAAAGGATAATAAATTAACATGTGCACAAGGTTACCTATAGCATCTGCGACAATATAAGTCATCATCACAACCATGACATCTTAAAACAGCATTCCCATTGCAGATACAACACCAAGGCAACTCCTCATCATCACTGTTTGCTTCATAATCATGGCTGAAAATGTTGTTGGACATAGCTGAGAAATCCATATCTTTGGTCTGGCAAGATGTTAGACAAAACAAAACATTCATTTTCAACAAAAATGGTTAGAAAAAATGGCAACTCATCATCATTGTTTGCTTCACAACACTGACTGAAAATGCTAGTAGGCATTGTTGGGGGACTGTATGTAGTATCTGTGGTCTGGCAAGATGAGATACAAAACAAAAATGTAATCCTACCAAAACTAAGTTGCCAAAAAATAACAAAAGGCCAAAAGGAAGTCACTAAGAACTATATGTGATGTCTTCAAATTGTTTGTTGCTATTTCCATATCCATCCTTGTTGGTGGAATGTTACTGGGAAAGTCAGGATAAAAATTCATAGCAAAACAACTATTCAAAGTCCTGTTCTAGCTGAGTTAACTAGTAGCATATATTTGTTTCATTGAAAATTTTATATTTTATAATTTTCAATAAAGGAAAAAAAAAAAAGCAATCAAAGGGCTGTGAATGAAAAGGAAACTAACAGATTACCTTTGATTGTCCTGTCTTTTTTCTGGATTTGCTAGATTTGCTGGCAGAGGTATCTCCTAATTTGTAACCAAATTTGGTTGTCAATACTAAATAGAGTTTTATAGGAATTGCCTAGCACCGTATCACATCTTTACTCTCGTTTGTTTAATTGCTGCAGAGAAGGCAGATGTTTACAAGCTTTCAATAGGGAATATGCAGATAGTTGTGCACTGAAAAACTGATTAAGCATGAGGTTTGGTGTTTGGGGCAGCTATGGATACTGTTACCTTTAACACTTTTTATTCCAGAAGGCTTTGTGTATACAGAAGTCATGGAACATTTTGAAACGTAAAAGGGGGTGGGGGAAGAGTTTTCAATCTGCAGCAGGAGAATGCACAGAATTTACATGCTCAGAAATGAAAATAAGTTCTTTAGTGTCAACAGTGTATTTGAAACACTTACCACAATCAATGTTTTCCATTTTTAAATCCAAAGCTACTTCACCAAGTATCTGTCAATATACCAAAAGATCCCTTATCTTTCAAAATATCCAAAAGTACCATTGGTATTATATATTTTTTTCCTTTCTCCTCCTATGTTTAGAGTATGGCAGGAGATGATAAATATGATCTTGTTTTAACCCAAGATAGGTACTCTACCACAGACAGGGTTTGTACCCTTTTTCAGAATCACATTTCAAGAACTTTTCCAGGACTTTTTCAGGACTCAGATTTCTTTTTCCAGGGCACCAAATTTCACATTAAACCAAAGATTTCAAAATCGATTCTCCTCATGATCTACATACATTTCTTAAACCTCAATCAAAAAACTTTGTTGCTTGTTAGTTAAGAAAATTTCCACAACTTTCCAGGAACTGCAGCTTTTTTCAAGGACTTTGCAGGTTTTCCAAGACTTATATGGACCCTGTACGGATGGCCTTTAAGCATTATATCAAGTTTTCTTAAAATGGTTTGTTAGTTGCCATTATTTTTCAACAGTGAAGGGAGACAATGCGAGAGTTAGTATCTTAACTGTAACATAGAAACCACAAGTAATTATATAATTAAATTGTAACTAGAAAGGAGGACCACAGTATATTCTGCCCACATACCTTATGCGGAAATGCTCCAGTCAATCTGACACTCATTTAAAAATAGTAAAAAGATCCCAAAAGTAACCGATTACTACATGTGGAATAAAACTTCTCAGTCTTTTGTGTTTTACAGACTGTTTTTCAACCAAACTTTCACACATCTGTAAAAAAAAATATAAAAAACCAACCTGTTTCAGGTATTGTTGACTCGCTGTTTCATCATCCTCATCACTATCAAACATGTTTGACTTGGGTTGATTTGTCAGACCTGATAAGTACAAAATAATTGTTTTAAATAATAATCTCCATTTTTTTTACATACCAGGTTACTTATTACAAATACCTCTGATCGATTATTAGTACTTTATATAATTAGGTTTAAACTAGAGTTTAATTGGAGAGGTCACCCAGAGTTATTAATGAGATTTTAAAAAAGTTCTACCTAATAATAAGAGAGCCATTTACATGTGTCACATAAGAATCTTTTGTGATGTCTCTTAACCAATTAAACTCCCAAGATCTGATTGTTAATTCTCCTCTCTGGCTGCTAACAATTTCCTTGTAAATTAGTTATGAGTACTTGGTGCTAGATCAAGATAGCAGCTTCTACCTGATAAGTTTGAATATTCTCATTACCTGTTTGCTGAAAAATGTATGGATGTTATAGGGAGAAGTTTCATGTTAATCACCTCTGGGAGTTAAAGGGTTAACCCTTTAATAAGAGACCAAGACAGTGTTTCTCCTTACAATATTAATACATTACCTAGCAAAGAAGTAATGGCAATATAGAAAAATATAAACCAGGGGAAATTATAAGTTGATCAAATACCAACTTCTGCAGACTATACTGTAACATCATAAGAGTTGTATGGCAGACAGTAAGGAAAGTTACTAAAGAGATCTTGGAAGTTAAAGGGTTAAGTGAGATCTATGACTTACATTGTAATTTATTGCACAATACAGAGTTAATATTGTGAAGAAATTCTCTATTACTGAATTGTAATTGTAAGAAGATACTGCCTAGCATTTTAAAATCAAAGAAGTCAGATTTCTTGTAGAGGTCTCAACCACATCTGAGAGGGTCTGAAGATTCTAAGACACTGAAAATTTCACAAAACATCCCAAAGAATTTTGGCAGGAAATCCCCTTCACTGCCCTTCCCTCTAAAATTAGAGGTTTTAGGACTAGATCAATTTTTTTTCAAATTCACACATATCTGTTGAAACACAATTTTTTTTCATTTGGTATCAGGAACTGGTCTGCAGTTGTGAGTTGAAGTGAGATTAAAGTTTCTACAAAAGATTAAACTCAAATTTTTTAGGCTTCTTCTTTGCTGACCACAAGCACTAAAATGGTGCTTGCCAACACTCAATTTCTGGTTGCATTGGTGACTAGCTGCTGGTAATACTGGCTGGTAACAATTTTGGACCCTGATTCTATAGTTATCCTTTCATTTTTAAAATTATACTCAAGCTGAATAACAGCACACTCACTTGGATTGATGCCTTTCAGCTTAGCAAGTCTCTCTTCAATTTCCTTATCAATGATACTACTTTTGGCTGTTGGATCCTCCTCAGCAAGTTTGTTTTCTTCCAACATCTGTTTCATCAAATCACTTACCTCTTCTATTTCAGATTTCTTTGGCTGAAGGGTATTAATCTGTTGAACAATGAAGTATTTATATGAATGTTACTTAAGAAAAAAACTCTTCTATGGCTGAAAAGAGATGAAATAATGAGTTACATGTGACTCATTTAACTCTAAGAGTGACCATCATCTGCTTCATCTCATTTCTCCTTACAGCATACACAAACTCTTTGGAATCTAAAATTGCTGTCAGTGTCATATACATCAAACTACAATTTCAAAGGGCAGAGAGGAAAACTAATGGTTTCTAAAGCAACCACCTGCTTTACATCTTTAACCAAGTGGCTGATGAAAATTTTGTAGCTACCATAACCACTGTTGTAGTCTCCAAAACTAATATTTTTTTTCCAAAGGAGACTGATAACATTGACATTTTATCCAAATGTTATTTACATTTGAGTTCTGCATTGAAATTGCCTTTCTTCCTGTGAGGTTCTCAAACCTTTCTCCTAATTGTTGATCTGTTATTTGTGATATTGAAGAATTATCTGTGAACAGAATTGAGAACAGTTCAGGATCAATTGTGAACCCAAAGTGATAAAATGATACATGTAGCTTATTACTAGCAGAGTGTCAGGGCGGTACTAGCAAATATTTGCCAAAGGTCAGTACAAAAACAAACAAGGAGGAATGTCCCCCAGTAGCTTAAGGTTAGTACAGGCAAATAATTTATAATCTGGCACTTGAACCAAACTGGTTTTAGTTGGAATTCTGCCAGCTTTTGTAAAGTAGTCATGGAGCAAAATACAGACCAGGTAAGAACCAATC